GCCTGAACAGGGAATTGAACCCTGGACCCTCAGATTAAAAGTCTGATCCAATCATAGGCTGCGATAGCCCCACATACACACAGGGGAAACAGCAGTCAGATGAGGATCGATCCATTGTTCACAGGCTCAGAGAGGATTCAGGCTCTCAAAATGATGCCAAACTGCTGTATTTGGAAAGATTGAACACTATAATTGATAAAACAAGTGAAATATATAGTTATATAGTTTATAAAATTACAATGGAACAGCTGGTTCCAAAATGACAATTTTGCTTGACCTCGCCTGACCTCTCTGTACTAAAACGTCTCTACCTTTTCTCTGCTTCACTTTATCAAAGTCAAAAGTTGCATAGAGACTGTTGACATGTTGTGCTATGATTTGGGAGATGTTTTTGGGTAAGCACTGCCTCATTTCAAGAAATAATATCAATAAAAGGGCTTTTGTTTCAGGCGAACCTGAAACTTTTCAATTTGAGCTGTTTGCCATCTTCATTTACTCTTAACCAGTAACATATACACAATATTTACACATCTGAACAAATCTCACAAGTGTTACTTTTATTACAACATCAAAATTATTAAAATAGACCTTGTACTTAGAGAAAAACACTCTTTTTAGTGTGGGTATGCAATTTTCAAGAAGAAGCCTAAAAATAGGGCTAAGGTTCTACAGGTTCTTGCGAAGGGTAGATCCTGATTTGCATGTGGCTTGGCTAAACAAAGACGGGTGGAATTAGATTGATTTTTCGGCTATATGTAAATGAATATATAACGCCTATAAATGATGCCTGAACACGGACTTGAACCCTGGACCCCCATATTAAATGTCTGATGCTCTACCGAGACTGAAGGAACAAACCTTGAAGTTTGATCTGGAATGTTGTCCATTGTATTTATCAAGGTCAATTAACAGGAAATGTAATCCACATCTCAGATTAAATGTCTAATGCTCTGCTGACTGAGCCAATCAGACTCTACATCCCCAAGAGTCAGCAAAACCAGTTAGATATGGTAGAAAACAGACTTCAAAAGATTTAAAGTATTAAAATCTACCAACTCTTTGATGGTGATGGAGGTAGGGATCTCGGTCCAGAGGCGGGCAAATTTCACAGGCGTCACTAGCTCCTGAGGGTCTCGGTCTACGTGGGCGTGGAGCATGAGGCGACAGAAGGAGGCCCGGAGGTCAAAGGGCAGCGTCTCGTCCATCATACACAAGAAGATGAGCTCCACATCCAGCTGCTTGGAGATCTCATCAATGGCCAGATATTGACGGTCCAGACACATTCGCGCAAAGAGCTTCAGCTGGTACCTGAGGGTGTCCACAGAGATAGCTTTGATTTCTTCCATTGCCATTCTTGGGTGAACTTACAATATACTGCAAGTTAATGGTGTGATTTTCATGAAATCTTCTGTGCATGACCCCTACCTGTAGTAGGTGAGGACGTTCTCATCGTGAGCATTTCCTTGTCTCGCCTCCTGAGCCAGCTGTCTGATGCTCTTCTCCTGTCTCTCATTGGTCTTGTCTGTCCACACCAGCCACACCTGCAGGAAGAGACAAGAACAAAATCAGACTGATTTGACCTAGATGACCATCCCAAGCTTTATTTGGTGAAGCGGAAAACCATAGTTTTGCCTCTCTTTTTTCTCTCAAACAAAAACTTAAATTTTCAGAAATGTCTTTGAATGCTCTGCCTGCAGTCGATCTTTATCCAAAGTTTGTGTGTTCTAGACAGCCATGCAGAGCATGTGAGGCTAATGGAGAAAATAAGAAGTAAACTGAGATGCATGCAGATTTACCTCATCCTCATCTCCATAGTCATCCATCCCCAGGTAGTCTCCCTGACCGCCACCAGGGGGCGCATCTTTGGGGGCACGACGTCTAGATGAAACAAAGCAGAAATCAAGTGAAATGATGTTATTACATTAAAAGCATCATTTAGATCGCCTAGTTTTAGTAGATTGCTCACATTGCAGCAGGAAACTATATTTCAAAATAAAAGCTCTGTTCTGGAAATTCAATACATAAAAAAAAAGAAAACACACACTAGATCCAACCACTGACATACACTGGTCTGTGATTTTTATCCCCACCCGACATTAACAATTAAACCCACAATGACTTCCTGTTCTTCTGTGAACTCACTGGTCCTCCTGTCATTTTAAATTCCATCTGGAGTGACGAGGAATTCAAAAACGCTTTTGCTGATCTGATTGATGGAAACAACAACAGGCCGATTTTGGAACCAATTGCGTGGTGTGAAAGCTCCGTGTAACATTCCTATTACAGACCATATCCTCCCACATCAAATGTAATGTCAAATAAACCTTAGATGATGCGGAAATCATTTGTGATTGAGGGGGTCAAAGGTCAACCCCCCACCTCCCTGCCTGCCTCCTTACTCTGTCTTGATGAGGATGTCCTGGTTTTTGGGGTCCAGCACACATTTACAGATGAGCTCCTGAGTGACGGGGATAGCAACGTTGTTGGACACACACAGGTCTGACAGATAGTCGAGAAACCTGCACAAACACAAACACAATGTAAGAATAATAAACTGACAACATAATGACGC